AGCGCCCCCTGCTGGCCCCACTAACACCTCTTCCAGCAGCAACCTTAGTTTAGTTTTTCCCAGGAGGTCTCCCATCCAGGTACTGACCAGGCTCACACCTACTTAACTTCACTGGGTTGCCAGTTGTGAGTTGCAGAGTGATATGGCTGCTGGATATATATATATTCAATATACATTTAAATATTCATATATTCAATATACATATAAATATTCAATACTAAAACGAGCACAGTAAAGACATTTAAATCTTTCTACGACCGACCAACGGACCCCTGTCAGTCAACCAATCACGTACCGCGCTATTTTGCGTCAACGTGCGTCACGATGCGCGAGGCCGTAGCCAATTACCTCCGGTACATGCCTGTACCGCGCACTTTGAATGGCTGCATCTGTATAATTTTCTTAAAACTCTTGAGTCTGAATACAGCAAGCTAATGCTAAAGAGATTATTATTGAAGGCGTGTGAAAACTGTGCGACAACAGAGACAACAGAGGTTCTGGATGTAAAAGAAAAATAACATTTTGAAAACAAATGCATAGAAAAATTGTCTGTGAAACTTACTATCACTACTAACTGCATACATAACAATATCCTCACATTTAGAAGCCCTTTTCCCCTCTTTGTTTCTTATCAGCAGAAATGGTTACACTTAATTTCAATAGTCACAGAAGGTCAGAGACAAATTTTGGATTGACCAACATTAACATATTAAACGATGTTTGCTTCTGGATAGTTCTGGAATCATACCACATTCCCCTTTTCACATATTTACTGTAGTTGATCTACTTTAAAGTCTCTTGTATTCATGACTCATGGTAGTAAAAGATATGTCTTTGTGACTCGTGTAGCAAAAGACCTGTCTTGAAATCTCTTGGTGTGTACTCCACAAATTACCTTAGAATGCAAGATTCAAAGAGAAAACTGACTTTTTCATGACTGTTAGCCCTGTGTTTTGAAGCACTTTTTATTCTTATTTTGCAGTCCAATAGTTTCCAGTGCCTTGGCTTCAATCAACAGCAGATGGGATCTACCTGTTTTCACCTTGCCCTTTAATATTTTAGTTTGCTTGCACATGGTAGCAACTGGACATTACAACCATCACTTCCCACAGGTTCTCATTCAGCCAAGAACATCCTTGCCAAATCTGACATGGTCAGAAATTGATGTACCTCTGGTAAGTTTCCAACGCCCTCCTCACCACCACCATCTCTATCACTCCTGTGGAACCATTGAACCCATGAAAGAATGCTGTACTGCCAGCTTTGTAAGATTATTACCTATGGTCCTTTTGCAAACCGGCATGGTATGCTATGATGTTGGCAGCTCCCCTTTGGAATTTAATCAGGATGCATTTGAAATAATTTATGATCCAATTAATCATTTTGTCAGGTGTCAAGAGAGCAAATGTTCAGTGCCAATATTCTACCAAAGATCTTTGACAGAAGAACAGAATCATAAAACACAAAAACAAATCTTGGGACAGCAGGTATATTAAAAGTCCTTGTTAGTATTAGAAAGCTCCAGATTTCATTAGGACATTTAACTAATTTTGAAATATTAAATTATGTTATATTAAATTACTAAAGACAAGGGTGATCCCAGAAAACTAAATGTGGAATTTAGGATTGTGGGATTGAAAATGGCAGTGTTACACTAATGCATAAAAAAGAGTTCTATACTGATTTAGATTTGATATTCAGAGATAAATATGTACAGTATAACAATGACTAGTACAGGGTCAATATTCAGAGGCAGCTGAAAATGCATTTTATACATTAATGTAATTATGATTTACAGCTATCACGGAGTTCATAGCAAATTTTTAAAGTAGTTTGAGGAAGCCACAAAAGGCTTTGCTACTGTACATGTACTGTATGTGTTCTGTAACTGAATTTTAGGGCTCTCTGTGGCTTACACAGAACCTGACAAAGAAATGGAGAAAACAAATAAGAATTTGTCATAGGAATATGTGTCAGTTTCTGGGAAATGGTCTAAAATAATAAAAAAATAAAAATGCTTTAGGGATAGTCTAGAGAAGATCAGCTGGGTTCATTCTAAGACAAAAGCATGATATTTGAATACAAATTAAATTATCTATCTTTTCAACTTTAGTAAACACTTTCTCAAAGAACACATGTTTTTGCATAAAAGAACTTTTAAACAAAGGTTTAGGAGGATGTGCAACTGTAATCTCGCACACATCTGAATTTTTTTTTTCCTCCCAACTGCTCTTTCTAGCTATTCCGTGCAGTGCCAGTGGGTATTGGCCAGGTGTATGGCTGTGACAATCCCTGGACTGGAGGAATTTTTATAGTAGCCCTATTTATTTCATCGCCAATTACTTGCATACATGCAACAATTGGTTCAGCAGTTGGTATGGTTTCAGGTAAGAGCCTCCAGCCATCAATAAATGTATACCAATATCCATTGATACACAGTACATGCACTGTTAGAAATTCACATTGATAAGATAGTCTTCTTAAGTGAGTTTGGGCTGTTATGCAGCTGATTGAATGTTTACTCATTTCAGCTTTACTCAGTAACACTAGAGAAAAACTAGGCACACATGACAGACAGACATGGAAAATAAATTTAGACAATACATGTTATAATACAGCCAAGACAGGACATAGTGCAAATAGCACAGTACCTTAAAGTGCAGGTGCTAATTTGTGCAGGTGATCATTTGAGCTGTTTATGATGCAGACTGCTTTGGGGAAGAAACTGTTTTTTAATCTCTTGGTCAGTGTTCTGATACTGCAATACCTCCTACCAGAACCCAGGAGTGAAAACAGATCATGGCCAGGGTGAATTGGGTCCCGAAGCATAGCTCCAGTCAGGTTGTGGCGGCGGTCGAGATATATCAGGCTGATGGAGGGTAGCTCGGTCCCACTGATTTTCTGCATGGGGCTCACAACTCTCCTTATGGCTTTTCTGTCCTGTACTGTGGCTCCACCATACCACACCGTAATACTACCGGTCAGGATACTCTCAACTGTACCACTCATCCCCCACTTCCTAACTGTCTCAGGAAGTGAAGGTGGTGGGCTTTAGTGAGGATGGCAGCAGTGTTCTCTGACCAGCTCAGCCTCCCAGTGATCTGGAGGCCAAGGAACCTAAAGGTGC